CACTCCACCCCCTTGATTCATCAGGTGTTCATAGCCAAGCCTCTCTGTTGGGGCATCCACTTCCTCGTGCATCCATGGACGGGGAGCGATCGCGTTCCCCGGGTGTGGGGATTCTCCGTGCCTTCCCAACCACGTGTTTGTCGGAGCTGAGTTTCCAAACGACAGTTCTGGATTCAGCTGGATACAACAGAGGTTCTGTTCCCAAGTGTCTGGTTACTGTCTACTGCTGTAACTTCAGTGGTAGCTGAGTGCTTCCCTAATGGGAATATTAGCAGGACTGTAAACCACACTGAGCGTTCTGGGCTTGTCACGGACATGGCTGTTAAGTTGGTTTTGGTGACAAACCGCTGTCTGCTGTCCTAGACGCTTCCCTGAATAACACCTCCAATGCGGCAGCTCTGCATGAGGCTGAATGAAGCCAAGGCTGAGTATCGCTAGCTTTGCCATTAGTGCCTGTGCCCATGGTGGTCAGCATTTGAGAGCTCTGTGCTGGGGTGTCCTTGTTGATAATGTGCTGGGCTGGAAGGCAGGAGACCTGGGTTCTGTTCCTCTGCCAAGCTGCCTCTTCCCCCTGCGCCTCTATCATGCCCTTTAAAATGGGGATTATGCTATCTATCTTCCACTGCAAAGACCTTTGGGAGCAATGGATCTTCTCCTTCCTGTGTCCTGCCACCCCAGGTAGACGTCTTTCCAGCACTGGCTGCAGTTGATGCCTTGGTCTGTAGGCTTGGTGAGGTCTTCCTTGGTGCATGGCTTCTCCAAGAGCCAACAGGCAGACAGGTATTCTGTGGTCCATGTCACCATAGTCATATATCTGGGCTGTCTGAATGACCCTATCCTCACGTATTGTCCTTTGACTTTCTGATTGTTGGTTGAAAGTGTTTTGAATCTTTCTGGGAGCCAGCCCTTCTCTGTACCTGCAGGGATACATGCATCGGGCATCAGTGGGTGACAAATACTGTAGGTAAAAAACAGTGGGTGGTGCTACTTGCTGAATGGTTGTGCTACCCACCCATCTGGATAAGAAGCTCTGCAACAAAATCATAGGGGCCAGTGGTTCACACAGAGCAGGGGCAAGCACGGCTTTGCTTGGAAAGAACACATCTCTGTTTTTAAAGAAGAGTTTTATCTTTACAGCACTTTTATAGATCTGCTTTATTAATCTAAAGTCAGTAGGGAATCGTGCTGTTTGTTCTCCTGGAGCGTGATCGTCAGTGATGTCAGTGGATTCAGTTTGCTTCTTGGGCACTTAAGCTACACTTTGCAGCTAGGTTCAAAAAGAATATAAACCATCTTGTTTCAGACATGGGACACATATCCCATGGGAGCAAGCGTGCTGAGTTCGATGCTGTGCAAATTCTCTTGCCTTGATTAAGGCTGGTCTAAATGCAGGTTTTTGTATAGTATGTTATATGGCGACCTAGTTTTAAGCACCAGTAAAAGGTGTTTGCGTGTACATGACCATTTACTGTGGCGCAGCTGTATCTTCAGTAGGCAGGCCATTCCACGTCCGTTCGTAAACAGAACCAGTTATAGCGGGACAAAACCTGCGTATGACCCAGGTTTTGTGCTCCTGTCTGCACTTGTATTTTTGTTGCTGTGCCCTTGGACTTGTACCTTGCCTGGAGGTGCTGGGTTCCCTTGGTGTTTCGTGTTTGAATGCAGACATTGTGAGGTCTGTTCCGAGGAAGCTGAATGAAGAGAGAGCGCACATCCATCCCCTGCAATTACAGCAGGGGAGCACCATGTACCTCCAGCCTGAAAGTTCACACAGCTTGAGTCAGGCCACGCAAAGTCCCAGTGCCTCTGCTAAGGTCACGTGGCCATCTGCAGGGGCCAGTCTAAAGGAACAGGCAAAACCCAGGAGATGCCACAGAGCAAAACCCTCACCCCCACTCCTGGTAGGTGTGCTTTTGTTTGTCTTGGTGCTCTGCAATCAGCCCTGATTGCAGCGCATGCACAATGAGCTCCGTCTGCCCCCAGCTGACACACGCGTGTGACTCGTTACATTTCAGCTCACAAGTCCTTAAGCATGGTGCTAATTAATGGGATGAGATTGTTATTAGCCAGACGCTGCCCTCGGCTGTGGGCTGTGTCTGCACCGCCCTTGTTTCCCTTGCACCTGAGCATCTCCCCTGCAGGTAGCTGAGAGGTGGGGCCGCAGAAATGGGTTTCTGGGGCAGTTGCTGGAGGCTGCTGTTGGTGCTCATGGTTCCTATTCAGCCATGAAGCATTCTCACATTAGCACATGTTAGAGTCTGGAGTAACTGGCTTAATAAAAAGCCAGTGGGGGTCGCAGCTCCCCCAGGGGCTGACCTAGTACAGTAGCTCCTGTGCTGATCCTGACAGGCAGCAAAGGCAGCTGTGGACTGTGAGCCCGGAGACCTGGGCGCTGTTCTTCCCGCTGCCTGGTTTGGGGTAAACCCCTTCTCCGTGTCCCTGGCTGCTTCACCTGTATAATGGGGGAGGTGATGATGCCTCCTCCCCTCTGCACCGTGCTTTGTGGCCTCTACATCAGGAAAGCCCTTTATTAGCGCCAGATGTTATCGTCATCCAATATTTCAGGCAGTGTTTGATGATGCCCCAGAGTTCAAATGCAAGTTGCAAAATCCCTGCCGCAATTAATTATGTCTACAATTGTGCTTATGTGCATGCTGATAACCACATCTCCAAAGTGCTTGGAGAGCTTGGGGTAAAAAAATGTTCCTAATCACAAAGCGGCGATTCTCTTTCAATCACCCTGACTCCGAGCGGGACCGTAGGACTTGTACCCGCTGCATGAGATAGTTAAGAAATGTTATCTGTTTTAATATATTAACTTACTCTTGAACAAGGTGTTGCATTAGTTCATTATTAGGTTGCTGGAAGGCACAAATGAAATTGGGTTTTTCAATATTATTTTTTAATGTCTGCATTCTTATCCTTTCTCCTCCATTCCTCTTCCTCTGCCTCGTACCAAGCGTTGTATTAAATATATTTAATAGGGTTCCTTCATCTCAATGTTGGCATTAAAAACTAAATTAGCGAGTGCTGGGTCCTCTTACAGGAGGTGCTACAATTTATAGCTCTCGTTTGGTTTCCTGCTGCATGTTCGAATTGTCTTTTTGTTCTTATAGCTCTGAGCGCACTTGCTAAATTGTCTGTCTCAGCTTGAATCCCTCTGCAAGATGAATTTCAAGCCAGCATCTCATAAGCCCATTGTTACTGCTGCAGAAATATTGTAGCTTCTGCCCCCTTGGTTCTGGAGACAACAGTGTGGTTCCCTGGTTCTCTCAAAAGCAAAGAGAAACATAATTAATGACCTGATTCAGGAACACGCTTTAGCCCATTCATAACTTTGAGCGTGTTGGAAACTGATGGAACAGGCTGTTTGCTCGAAGTAAGCCGGTTGTGGCATTGCTTGCCACGAGAGCTTCTCATCATAGATTCGCAACCCAGAAGGGCCCGCTGGAACATCTGGGCCTGCCACGAGCCAGAGAATGCCTCTCGGTTCATCCGACAGCAAGCTTAGCTAATGTTTAAAGCACAGCTTCCGGAAAAGCATTTGGCCTTGATCAGAAGACCGCAAGAGATGGAGAGTCGACCACCTGCCTCGGTAGTCTGTTCTGGGCAGAATTGCCTTTGCTGTTTGAATCTGAGCCTTGTTCCTAATTGGAATTTGTCGGGCTTTAACGTTAGCTATTGCGGGTCTAGACTCTTTCGTTATTGTCACATAGATATGATTTTTCGTCCCTGGGAAGCACGTAGAGACTTTGGCAGTGCCCAGCACCCTGTGAACTTCCTGAGGTTTGGAAGGCTGCTCCGAGATCCCTCTCAAAGTTTAGGTGGCTCGTGGGAGCTCTCCTTGCCTACTGTTCTAGGTAGAGGCATGGGAATTTATTTTAAGGAAAATTTTGTGTGTCCAGGTCAAATTAGCCAGATCAGGTCCATATTTGTTTCAATCATTCAAGAACCATACGTGGCCCTGCTACTGGGAAATATCCTCCACCCCAGCCTGGGACTTCAGATACTTCCATATCCTTTGGCAGGCATCCTACGTGCAGGCCCAGGCCTGGAGGCTTGGGTTTCGGATGCCCCCGAGTTCCGTTTGCCCTCAGCCATGTGGCTGCAGGAGCAAGCTAGGGATGAGTCTCCCATTTCCATAAAGTCGGTGTGTAGCCAAGATCCTCCCACTGCCACCTGGCCAGTGGGAAGCTAACTACAAGGCTCTCATAGGGAGTCCTGTCCACAAGCAGACAAGGGTGCACCCTCCGCTACACAGTGCCATTTTAATTGCATTACCTCGGTCAGGGAGGCGGTCTTCCTAGCTGCACTGGGAAAGACCGCTATCCTGGCATGGAGATAGGACCTGCCAAGGGAATGTGTAGTAAACCTCCCACTGAACTGCTAGAGTGGGAAGGTCTTGGCTTTAAGCCCCCTTTATGGAAATGGGAGACTCTTCCCTGGCTTGCCCCTGGGGCCTTACGGTTGAGGGCAAGCAAAACTCGGGGCATCTGAACCCCAAGCCTCTGGGCTTGGGCCTGCAAGTGGGATGCCCGCCAAAGGTTTTGGAAACATCCAAAGCCCCAGATGGGGGTGGAGGATGTTTGCCGGTAGTAGGGCTGCTTATGGTTCTGGACCGACTCTCGGATTTGGAATTTGTTTGGACTAATTTGGCTTGGACTACGGAAAATTTAATAATAAATGAATAAAATTTCCCCAGCCATCATTGTGGTCATGGTATTTCCCTGGGAATTAGGGCAGTCAGATTTGGGGTAGGGAAGAGCAACTGGGGCACTGGTGGTTTCACAGACACTAGCACCAAGGAGCTGATCAGCATCTCAGGTTACATGGTGAGCTAGAAGATGATGAACTGTCACCGCAGCTCTTGCATGGGTTTGGTTGAGCCAGCCTAGGATGGTGGACTCGGGGTACTGTAGATCCCTGCACATGTGGTCTGAACCTGTGGGTCTATGGGTAAAGTCACTCCCATGGGTAAAAATGTCTGTGTCCCCCAGCAGGTCTGGAAGCGGTCCGGCGCGTGGTTCTACAAGGGGCTGCCCAAGTACATCCTGCCCTCAAAAAGTTCCAGCAAAGCCAACGACCTGTTTGTGCGGCCACAGCAACCAGAGTCTGCTGTGCAAGCAGTGAAGGGCATCGAGACCAACCGGTTCTACACCTGGGCCAGAGGGAGAGGTCAGTCCCCTGCGGCCTCTTTGCATTGACTGTGTATGCTGGGCTCGCAGCACCCCAAGTGTTGGGGGGGAACTGCCCGAGCTGGGGAACATGCTTGGCCGGATGGTTAGGGCTGGGCAATGGGGGCAGGGCGGTTGACGGTTCCCTAGTGGTCACTGCATTGATCTGGGAGCTCTTGGGTTCTGCAGCTCACTTCCCATGAGACTTGAGTCACTTCTGACCACCTTTTTTCCCTTCCTCTTTCCCCACCTGTTCTGTGCGGATGGTCCTGGGGTATCTGTTAGCAAGTGTGATTCTACGTGCTGCTGATCTCTGCCAGCTGCCATTGTTATGCTGGGCTCCATACAGAATACAGAGACCCCTGCCCCAAAGAGCCTGCTGTTTAAAGGATGCAGCCAGTGTCTTGCCCAGACTTCCTGCCTTCTGCTGGTCTCTGACAACTTCAATTTAGTAGAGCCTTTATTGCCTGTGTCGGAGAGGGCCTTGCTGTTTGAAATGCTTATAGCAATGTTGGGAAATACTCAAATTGGCCCCTGTTCTCTGAGGAGATGGGCTAGCGTGTTTTGAGTGAGGAGCTCCCCATAAATATCATTCAGGTGGCAAGAGGAGTTCAGAACCAGCCAAAGAGCACAAAAGCTGCCTTGATAACAGTGTTCCTTCAATAGGTATAAGCAATGCAGAGCCTTTCTCCCCTGCTCTGGCAGATATACAGCTCATTGCCATTTTATAGGCAGAATAATATGATCACGGTCCTTGCCCAGGTTTATGTCCTGCTTTCTTCCCTCGCTATTCTTCCTGCCTCTTGTCCTTTAGACAGCTTTTCTGTGGGAGCCCCCAGTCATAACTCATGAGCGAACTGGATGCAGGAGCATTTAGTTCTTTTCATCCTTGCCCTTTAAACAGCTCTCTCCTGCTAGTGCCCTGCCTGCCACATAATTGCCATGCAAGAGTACCAGGTACAGACTCCCCCCACCTTGCTCTGACGCAGATTGGCTCTAGTTGTGAATTTTTTCTTCCCCACATAAACAAGGACAGCTTTGAGCATCCTAGCTGGAGAGCAGGGCACCTTGTGCTGGACAGAATAGCAGGATGCTTCCCTGCCCCAAGGAGCTTCCAGTGCAAACAGATGAGAGAGATGACAGTTGGGACAAGGGAAGTTTTGTATCCCCATTTCACAGAGAGGCAACTGCATTAGAAAATAGAATTCATAAAATTCCACAAAATTCATACCTTATTCATAGAAGTCCATAAAATCCAGTTTATGCATCCCTCACATCCCGCTGGTGCCCTGCGTCAGTCAGCCTTGCCTCTGATGCTGACCTCAATCACTTCTCGTTCGAGTCTCTCAGCCATTTAGGAAATGCCCTTCAGCTTCCCTCGTGACAGTTGTTTGCATGCGAGCTGTTCACTTCCTCCTTCCAGGCAGAGGTTACAGATCAGTCTGCGCGTGCGGCTGGCATCCCCTTGGCACTGATCCTAAAGTGACATGCGGTGACACCTCTGAGATGGACCCAGGTTAGCCAAGGTGTTCAGTAACATGTTAACAGGCCAGTGTGGACCTTGCTGGGAACCTTCAGCTCATATCCAAGTGGAAAGCATGAGACATTGCCTCTGTTACCCGCACCCTACCATACCTCCACCTGGTGAACACACATGCGTAGCACCTGCCAGACCCTGGGCAGGCCAGGACCTGGCAGGCTGCAAAATGTAGAGCTGCCTTGTTAGGCAGGATGTCCTTGGGAATGAATCATGGCAATACTGTCCTTCTGACAGAATGGATGAGGGCTGCTCCTTATGGGGTTTTTGTTACCTTAGGCAACAGTAAGGGGGAAGATTGGTTTAACAGACAAATTCCAGCTCTCAGGCTCGGAGGTGGGCTCTGTCTCTAGGCTTTTATACAATTTCTGTTGAGCACGGGGATGCTGGGTCCCATCACACTGCTGCAGGGCTTGAACCAAGCTTCTAGCCTTGGCATTAAGGGGAATTACAAGGAAAACCAGTCTGGCATGGGGAGCATAATTGGCCTGTTGCTTTGAGTGGCTCAGTTTAGCAGCTCAGGTTGAGGCAGCTGCTTCCCACCACTTGGAGAGGGCTGGGAGCAGAAATCTCCTCTCTGCTTGTGGCAGCCAAGCAGAAGGGGCTCGTTATTCCGGCTGTCAGGTTTAGGTAAGCATTTGTCACATTATATTTTGCACAATTAAAGTGACAGCCCATGTTGGTGAATCCAGCTGTTTGTATTCGTGTCCCAGAGTTGTCCCGCACAGCGGAGCATGCAAGGCAGTGGCTGCGGCTACTGCCAATGTCAGCAAGGGCTTAGATCGGTCAGTCACAAGTGCCCTGCCCTGATCTGGGTTAGGGAAGGGGAGGATGGTCTGATGGGAGCCCGGAGAGTCGCTGCTCTGCTACAGGTGGCCGGTGAGACCTTTCCTGGAGACCCCTGTAGTGGATATAGTAGCCCTGCCCTTCCTTACTGTTGTGCTGCCAGGGGCAACTTTGGGCGTGCATGTACCACATCAGTGGCTGTTCACACCCCACCCCTCTGCACGTGCTGCTCTGGGCTGGTACTCAGTGCCAGCTCTTGAGCCCTCGTTCTCCAGCAAAAGGGGGTTGTTGGGTTTGTTTTTCTTACACACCCCTCTTTCCTCGCACACTCATTCACCCCGGGATTTGCTCTTGCCTTTAGTTTTTCCTGTAATAAACAAGCCGTTGCCATGGGAATGCTGTGATTTTATTTAAGGCACAAACATGTATTGTCACTGGGAGAATGGCAATCGCATTTCTGAGGCTGGAGGATGGCCCCACTCGCCGTGATGGCATGCACATCAGTGTTTTGCACTGCGTCAGGAGGGAACCGGTCAGTTAGAAGCAGGGGGGAAATAAACAGCAGGGATTTCCTTTGGTCAATGTTTTTCTCTTGCAGAGAGAAATTCAGAGCAGCTGGGGGAAAATGTGGTCCCTGAGCTGCTGCTCTGTGTGGTGCCAGAGCTGCACGCTGCCATGTTTTTCCCGCAGCTTTCCCAACTCTTGTATCAAAGTGTACAAATTCATGGCCAGACGAGGCACTGGCACATCTCTCCGCAGGTGGCACAGGGAGAAGCTGCAGGTCAGGACAACGCAGCTTTGTTTCCTGACGCCTTTGCCTGTAAGGATGGTGCCCTACCTTGCTGGTGGGGGGAGTCGGGGGAGTGCTTAGCAGCCCAGGGGTGTTGGCAGGCTGCCCCGTCTGTGCTGGGAGCCACACAGCCCCAGTTTTGACTGCGTGTGTGGGGACCCTTTTCAGCTGACAGTGCCTTGGCTGCATCCCCACTCGGTCCCCACCTGCCCTGGTGTCCGTGTCTCCCCTTTCTATGTGGGGACCTTGTTGGCTGCTGACTCTGGCACAGAGACAGAAAATGACTTTTGGAGGCCATGCGGTGACTCTGTGGCTGATCTGAGAGTGGATCCTGGGTCTCCTGCAGGGGGTCCAAGCAACTGTGGTCTGGAGACCTCCCTCTCACCTCTGCCACAGATTCCCTCTGTGACCTTTGGCAAGTCACCTAGCTTGTTTGTGCCTCCATCCCCCAGCTGTGCGGTGGGGATCACAGCACTGACCTACCTCTCATAGGTGCTGTGAGGTTAAATCCACTGCAGACTGTGAGGTGCCCAGCACTGCAGCGATGGGGTGCAGATAGATTCAGCCCTGAGGTCCACCTGCCTGCATCCCTGCCGGTCCCTCAAGACAAATCTGCCCTGTCTGTCTCAATCCTGGCACGATACTTCCTCTGTGTGCAAATGAACCTGGGCTCTACCTGTGGCACCCAGGAGGGGAGGACCCTTTCTCCTGGGGGGGTCGGTTGGCTACTCAGCTCTCCACTTCGCTCAGGGGATGTTGTATTCCCTTCCCTGTGGGTTCAATCTGAGCAGACATTTTTCCTGAGCCTCTTCTATGAGGTATCATGGGGGATTTTGTTGTCGTGGTAAGACGCTTCTCCTCCCCCATGGTCCCTGGGGATTATTGCTCTGGGAGAGAGCGCTCAGAGTGCTCTTAAAGATTCGGTGTGAATGCAGAACTGCACTTGGCTCGTAAGCAGAGCCCCGATGCCTGGTGCTTGCTGGAAAGATTAATGTGGCCCAGTGCCCAGGTGAGAGGATGCAGAAGCCACCAGAGACTTGCCTGTTCATAGCTCTGGGGCCAGATAACCTGGTGCTGTCCTTCCTGAACTCTCCAGGCCAAGACGGGGCATGCTGGGCTGGCACTTGCGTAGAGAGAATGGTGCCAGTGAGCTGCGAGGTGGTATCTTCCCTTGCCCTGGGGTCAAACGGTGTTGTGCTGCCGGAGGTGCCATCCAGGCCTCCACGGCCTTTGCAGTTCTCTTAGCATCCGCTCGACTGTCCTAGCCCAATTCCAGCTGAATTCCAGTCCATCTTCCTCAAATCCTTCTGGGAGGCAATGTCCTTTTTCCCTCTCCTGGCCTACACTGCTGCTGGGGGCTCTTACGTTCTGGTGCAGAGTTGGCTGCGCAGTCCAGTGACTTTATACCTTTTCCTTGTTGGCAGGGTGCTGGCCCCAAAGCACTGCAGGATGCTCAGAGGGGAGGTGATGGACAGCTCATTCTTGGGGTTCTTGAGGCACAGGGACATGCACCGCCTTCCTGTACATCTCGCAGAAGGGGCTGCCTGCCTCTCCAAGGTCCCTCCTCACAGTCCTTGGCGGAGGAGGGTGTGGGTGGGACTTGTCCAACAAAAACAGGAGCTGCTGCTGTTTTCTCCCCGCAGGGGCCGTAGGGATATGTGGGCCCCACTTGGACAGGTCCTACATCAAAGAGCCTGTAGCCTAGGTAGGTGAGAGAGATGCCAGTGGGAATGGGACAGAGGGGCGTGGGGTGTTAAAGCGCCTCCCCAAGGCTGCACAGTGGGCTAGGAGCAGAGGTGGAAACAAGACCCAGGTCTCCCAAGCCCTGGTGTCTTCTCCACCAGTCTGTGCTGCCTTTCTGCTGTAACGGGGCTCCCCCACGCCAAGTACTGCTTCCTGCGGCTCCTTGCTGCGCTGCCGTGCCGGCCGCCACCCAAGCTCCTTTTTGCAGGCAGCCTCAGAGTTTTTTCCTCCAGCAGTCACCTCTACTGATTTATTTGTTGCTGGTGGCGTTTCTGAAGCCAGTGGCGTCTCTCCGCTCCTGTCATGCTGCGAAGGCTTCATCCAGGTGTTTGCCGCTTTGTCAAATTGCAGCAGCGAGGTCGAGGCTGTTCTGAACGTTTTTCATTCATCAACATGAGCTGTCGCCAATTATTTCAAGGAAAGAGCCAGCACTGCTGTGTGCCTGCCTGCTCTTTACCCCGCACTCAGGGGGAGAGGAGTGATGTGGCCACAGCCCTTGGCCTCCCTGTGTGGGGCTTGTCCTGGATTCCCCATGCTTGTACCTCAGGAAAAGAGGACGTGGCATGTACTCCGTGCACAGCTTTTGGTGGACTGAACAGGGGAGAATTGCCTTTGCCATGCTGAGGCACAAAGCCAGTTTTGGTTCCTCCAGCTGCAGGTGGATCCTGGAGAAGGATGAATTTCAGCTCTCAGTACTGCTCCAAAGTGTTATCGCTTGGTGAGCTGGAGAGTGATTTCTGTGTGTGTCCATGCACACACATGCACACCTTCGTGCCCTAATCCCTTCTACCTGCTTTTGAATGCTCCAGGATGGTGACCCCCCCCCCACACACCCTGAACTCAGCTGGGACACTTGTTACTGCTTGCAGAGGCACCATCTGAACCCAAGACTCAAGCAGCAAAGCACACACCTGTTACCGGTGGAGCAGCAGCTCTGCCTCGAGCAGGGAGGCATTACAGAGGACCTGGAAGTACCCTGAGCAGAGCGGAGCTGGGGTTGTCTTCCCCGCGTGCAGAGGCCAAAGCCAGCGCATTGGCTGACAACACGGCAGTACATCTCAGCCTGGCAGAGATGATGAAGGACGAATGCATCACGTACCCTGAAAATGCAGCCACCCAAAAGGCTCCTGTTGATCTATCAGCATCTGCCGGAGTGCCAGATTTATGATTTCTGGTCTCCGTACAGCTCCAGCAGAAGGTCAGGGAGTCTTGAGAGAAAAATTGCTTTAAAGAGAAACATTAGCACAGTGGGTAAAATATGCTCTAATGGCCACCAAGGGAAAGAGAGCAGACAGGCTGGCCCGGGAGTCGGAGGTGCCCCATGCTCGTTAATACCTTTCACACAGAGCCATTACTCTTTGGAGCATTTAGAGGCAAACAGGGCAGCAGGATGATAAACCATCTCCTGCCGCCTTGTCCCTGGCCCTTCCTCGAGCAGTCTCTGTTTTGTGGAGCAAGACACAAAGCGATGTCCCCCATGTGAATTCCCGAGCCCAGCTTTCATTTGTAAACGTCTCTCCCAGACGGGAGCAGATGTGGCTTTGATGGATAGCCCCTAAGGGGTCGTCAACCATGCAGCAGAACTCGGAGGGCAGGACTCCCCAGGGAGCCGGGGACTGTGGGAGCCAGGCGGGCAGTCCTTTGAAACCCCAGCAAGAGACGAGTGCCAGAATGACCAGTTCGCCGAGGTCCAGGCTAGGGGTTTTGTTTTGTTTTTGTAAATTCCCTCTAGATACCTGGGAAAAGCCAGGGGGGTTTCATGCTTTTACGACTCAGCTGGAAGGCCCAAACCCTAGTGAGAATATGCCCTGTTGGCAGCGGAGGTCGGTTCCCAGTCAGTAGCTTTCGCAGCCCCTTTGTTGGCAGGATTTATGAAAGCAGTTCAGAAGCCCAATGTCTGATGGTGCAAGTAGACAGAGCACCCGGGGGCTGGGCCAGCCCAGGAGAGTGTCGCAGACACAATAGGAGCCAGCGCCATTGAGGAATGAGGAGTGAGAAAACAGGCTGGCGGGCTGCGCCGTCTCTCTCCAGCTCTGCCGAGCTGCTCTGATCAAGATTGCCGTGTGAGGGGAGCTGGTGGGGAGGCCAATCTCAATAGCTTTCCAATAATGCCAACAGCCAGCTTTAATATACTCTGAGATAATAATGCCAGAAATGCTTTATATTCATTATTACATTTTAAAAAAACATAGTTTGTGTAAAATGGAGAGCTGCTTCAATGCAATGGTGTTTGCAGAGGCCCTGGATGGAAATGTTCAACAGGTCGCATGCGCACGGAGGGAAAATACACCAGCCCTTTTGCCCTGCACAGGGTTAATAGGCTTGTATCTTTTGCAAAATGCATTCAATGAACTTGAGCGCCACTGAGAGGGGGTGACCTGACGGCTCTCGTCGCTACAGAGGTGTCTGAGCATCTTGCGGTGTCTTGTGACGTTGCCCTTAGCAGAGCAGCCAGACCTGGGAGGACCAGGTTGGACTCGGACCTGTTCAGCCTTTCTGTGAGCGAAATGTGCCTGTTCTTTACACCTTGCGCGGGTGCTGTAATGCCCTTGCTGGGGCGTGGGGCGTGGGGCTGAGGGGGGAACTTGGCAGAGCCTGGATTCATCACCTAACTCTGCCACAAGCTTCCTGTTGGACCTTGGGCAAGTCTTCTAAACACCACGTGATTGTCCACTCACCCCTGCATGGCAATAACGGTACTGTGCAGAGGATGACGGCTTGAATGTGGGGAAGATGCTCCGATACTGTGGTGATGGGTCAGAGGAAAGCTTACGAGCAAACACGCATGAGCAGTAGGGCTTTTCCCAGGAGGCAGTTGTAGCTTGGGCCTCAAATTTACCACTAGGAGCTGAGAACCATGTTCTGAACACTGGGCAGAAACACTACCTGCCTCAGTCAAACGGGAGGGATCTGTGGGGCACAGTCCAAAAAGCAGATGTTTCCCCAGCTCCCCCTGTGTCTGTCTGCCATTGCATGAAGTGCTTTTGCTGTTGGGAGAAGCTCCCTTCTCACTCTGCATAAAGCAGCCGGCAGTCAAATTGGATTTTGTAAAAGGGATGTAAGGAGCAGAAGTGCTTGCCTGCACCAGCAGTGCAGCAGGAGCAGGTTTCCAATTCAAGGAGCGCCCTCCAATTTCTCATCTGGGAAATTGAGGGTTTTTTTCTGCTGAGTTTGCAGAAATGGCAGAGACGGAAAGAAAGCAGTTGCAGTAATGGAATCGGATTCAAGCAGGGGAGATGTGAATAACGCGCTGTGGGTTAGAGGTGCTGTTTGCTGGGGGAGTAGTCTCCCTCTGGCACTCAGCGGAGCCCTGTTGCTCCGGATGTCCAGGAGCAGGACAGCCTGTGTGCTCAAGAGCGTGTCGTGGGCAGTGTCGTGGGGGCTCATTGGCTTCCTCCCCTCTGCAGTGCTGGTCTGCTTTGGGGGAAGAACGCTGCAGTGCTCTGGTTACCTGGTGCTTTTCATCACACATCCCAAAGCCGTATCTCCCAGCGGCTTGCCTGCACCTGGAAGGTGGCAGGGCTTAAGGTAATGTGTGGACGCAAAGCATCAAAGCTCTTCTTGAACAGCTCCTGGAGGGGAACATGAGTGTCCACACCCACAGTTAATCAGGAACAACTTTCTGTGCAGACAAGCCCTTCAGATCCTTGCTCCCATTTTATAGGCTGGGAAATTGAGGTGCAAAGAGAGAGAGAAAGGACTTGCTCAACGCCACGCAGGCAAGTCGGTGGGAAAGATCCCAGCTCTCCTGAGCACTGGCTTGGTCACTGCACCTGCCCCTGCTGCTTTCCTGGCTCCTCTTCCTGCACTTCTGTCCCTGATCTAGTTGTGAAGCACTTGACAAATAATTGCAGGCCTCATTGATGCAACAGTGGTGCTTGGCTTCTTTGAAATCATATGGGGCTGCTTTTGGCAAGTGCTGCTCTGCAGCAGTAGGGAGGTACAGCAGTGCATCCCCATTACAGCGTGTGAGGCTGAGCTGTAGGTTGGGGAGGTGGGGGACCAGCAAGCAGGTTTGCTCAGGTGCGGCTTGGCTGTAAACACACAGTACTTGCTGCCTTTTAAAGCGCCTATAAAAAGTGAAGTACATCCTGTTTGGAAGTGAGTGGGAACAACTGTGTAGGAGCAGCAGGTAAAGCTCTTCTCAGGGAGAGAACGTGATCATCAAGTCCGTGTGAGCGCCTGTTTTATTTGGATCCATCTGTCACCCTGTTTGCCAAGTGCTAGGAACATTGTGAATAATCCTGACCCCAGCCTCCCCCTTCTCTCCCACAGTGGTTTCTAGCGACAGCGAGAGCGACTCAGAATTCAGCTCTTCCAGCCTGGAAGACAAGTCCCCGGCTGCGAGGTTACCGGGGTGCAAGTCCAGCAAGCACCAAGCAGAGTCAGGTGAGGAAGCGGGGTGGGAGGCAGCCTGGATGTGCTCTGGACTAGACCTGCTGCTGCTGTTGCATGGGTGTAGGATCCAGGGGGAAGGAGCTCTGGGGTGGGGGGTGGGTCTGCATGCATGGTGCAGGGTAGTGAGGGGCCATGGGGCAGGGTGATCCCTGCTGCGGGCTCCCCAGTTGTGTGGGCTTTGGTTCCAAGCCTGGTTCCTAGTGCCAGGGACAACAAGTTCCTCTCCCACCCCAGACAGAGGGGCCCTGCCCAGGCTCGAGGGAGGTACTTGGGCAGGGGATGGGACCCCACGGTTGCCCTGGGTAGATCTTCTCTGTGAGTGTTGGTCTGGCAACCTGTGATGAGCTGGGAATGGAGACAGCCATATGACAACCTGCCCCCTCTGTATGTCCCCAGTGTCTAGCAGCGAGCCTCTTTGGACCCCTGGCATGGTCCTAGGGAGCACCCACTCTGCTGCCCTCTTGGAGAGCCGCAGCAGCCTGGGCAGCGAGCGTGGTGGAGGCCTCGGCACTGTGGAGAGCTGCCAGAGTGACCTGCCAGCGGAGTCATCGGACAGCGACGTGAGCAGAGCCATCCCTGGTAAGCACGGGGCAGCAGGAAGCTTGACTCCCCAGGCAGCGCTGCCTCGGCGAGGGAGAAGCTTGCTCTGAGCCAAGCCAGGCAGTGAGGTATGGTGGGCAGAGAGGAGCTCTGGTGGAGAGCCAGGCTCCCAGAGTCATCCAGGGAGTAGCTGTGGACTCCATGGATGCTGGTGGGGCATCACCTTGTGCTAAGCGCCGTGCCAGAGCAGTGAGGACCAGGCCTGCTCTGAGCACAGGGGTGCTTTGGGATGTTTGGTTCTGCCTCTCCTCTCTATCCTTCCCCATCTCATGCCTCCTCCTCGCAGTTGCCCCTGATAAAGCTCTGGCCTGAAGCTCTGTTCTTCGCCCAGCTGCTTGTGGCAAGGGCCGTGAGAGCACTGCGGCTTGGTGTGCCCGGCAGCTCCAACTTAGTCACTAGGGTGACTTTCAGGGCAGGAGCCTAATGGGATGTGGTCCCCCATACAGCCTCAGGGTTTGCGGCCACCCTGGGGCCACTGCAGCCCTCACCCCTGGTGCCAGGTGCCTCCTCCTCAGAGACGTGCAGCCTCCCCACGCACATGAATCCAGCATGGTGCCTCCACGAGCAGATTCGCACGGGCTGCCGTTTCGTTCGCTCTGCAGTTCCCAGTAGCATGTGCAGTAACCCCTTAAGTTACGGCTTTGCGCCCCTCTGCCCTGAGCCAGTGCTTCTGCTGCTCTCCCTGCATGGGTGTGACTTGGTTTCAGGGCTCCTGTGTCGAGGTGTAAATCAGCTGTGAAAGCAGCAAGGTGGGGGCCGGTTTAGCAGGGGCCTTCCCCTGCTGAAGACCCTCCATTTCAAATCCAGCCTCCCCTTCCGCCCTGCCAGCTTCCAGGGCCTCGTTCCCCAAGCTGCCTTGAGCTAGCGCCTGCTTAGCATAAAAATTGTTTCCCCTCCCCTCTGCCCTCAGGCATCCTCTTGATTACAGTGCTGCCCACAGGCACTGAGGCTTATTTTTAAGCCCCTTAAAAAAGCAGCGAGCATTGACATTCAGAATTGACAGCTCCATTGTGATGCACCAGCTCAGACTCAGGTGGTGAAGCTGCAGCGTGTGCAGGTTGGTCTCCGCTGGGCTGCTACGGGGCACCGGGATGTTGCTGCCACACCTCTCTCCTGCCATTGCTTGGCCATCCTTTCTTCTATCCCCTCCTCCAAGTGCTGGTCCTGGCCTCAGAGCCATGGCTTCCCCTCCAAACCTTGCTTGAGTGCACAGTCTGGTGCTTCATGTTTACCCCTGCAAAGGGCTTGGCAAGACTTAGGGAGCTGGTGTGCCCAAGCTTGTGTGGATGATACTGCCTTGAGCCCCCCAGGGGTCTGTCTGCACCCCCCAACTGCCTCTTCTCCTCCCCCTGTGCCCCAGAGCAGGTTTAGAGGGTTTGCTGTTTGGGACTGAGCACTGCCTGTACAGCACCCAGTGCAGTGAGGTCCTGATCCCTCCCTGGGGCTTTGGGGTCACACTGCAAAGCAGATACTACTCCCAACGGCCACAGGACAGCTTTTCTGTTTAGAAGAAAAGTACCTATTATTGAGACACTGGTACTTTTGGCAGGAGAGCTGGTAACTGTGCTCCATGTTGCCTCCAGGGAGCATGTGGGGGCAGGGGTGTTGTCGGGCGTGCCCGGGATGGATTTGTGCTGGGCTGGGGTCACACCCTGTAGAGCTCTTCCCTCCTCTCCCCAGTCTGCAGCTCCTCTCCCTGCCCTTCACGTGGCAGGGGTCAGCGGTGAGACGAGAGAGAGGGAGCAGCCACGTCTTTCAAGCTGCCTGTACCTTGTTGCAGAACAAGGACCTGGCAGGCGAATGGAGTTGTTGATTTTCTGAAAGATGTTGACACTTGCTGACACTCTCATATTAGCAGCTCAAGTTCTGTTCTGGGTTTTATTTTTACATCTCATTCTCACCTCTCCTCTAATTCTGCACTGAAGTGGTAACGCTGCAGAGGCCTATGGCATCCTGAGAACAAAACCCAGGTCAGAGATGCATTGGCAAGTCACTGCTGCTTCCAAAGCAGCTACTTTCTAATATCCTCTTGCCCTCCCGCTCCAGCCCGGTGGAGGCTGGAATGGCAGTTTGATCAAGTGGTTTGGGTACTGGGTAAGACGGGACAGGTGAAAAATGCCATGAACTTCCAACGTAGTTTTAACAGCTGTGGCTGAGATTTCTAAACCACATCCTTTGCATGCATGATTCCCATTAAAATAAGCAGCGTTTTAGGAGCGAGATGGGATGGGGTGGGGTGGGGTGGTGAGACAGGACCCACAATTATGCAGCCTGGCCCTGCCCAAGGGTCCTGCATGGGAGATGGAAGTCCAGATCCCAGAACAACTTTGTAAAGATCAGTCCCCAATTGCTAAAATCACGGGTCTAAATTTCCCTAAGTAGCTAGTCAGAGTGCCACAGCTTTGAGCTTCCAGCCTGAGATGCTCTGAAAGAGGCCTTGTTTTTAGAGAATAGGGGGTCCAGTGCTTTCTGAAGATCGGGACCTTTTAGGCACTCCTGCCTGTTTGCCACGTTTCCCTCTCCTCGTTCATTTAAAAGCATAGAGTGAATGCAATGCAGGTGGCCAGGTCTTGCACTGACATCCCTGGAGGTGGCAGGGCTAGTTGGGACAGCGACTGCAAGGTGAGGTGGAAAGGGGTGTTCCTAGTTACTGAGCACCAAAGGATTTTATCTGAAAAAAATATCAGAATTTATTGCCTAGAGATGCAAGGAATGGTGAGATCTTAGTCGTCTCTCTTAGTGCCAATGCGGCAATGTGACTCACACTGTTTCAGTCACAAAGGGTTTTTTGTCATGTCTTAGGAGACACCACAATTAAAAACAAGCAAAATAATCACAACGATTAACTCTGACTGTTTTCTGTTAAAGAAAGGAGCTATTAAACAGAACCAGATGCAAACACTGAATAATGGTTCCTTCAGGCACCGGCTCTTCTGTATGTCGCTTGCTGGGCAGTTTTTAACAGGTTTCCCCTTTCAGAGGGGGTCTGCCCCTTGGATCCGGGGGCTCTCTTTTCAACAAGACTGAAGCATATTACTTCCTAGATCAGTAGTGGGTCCTTTTTTCAGTTGTAAGCTGTGGACAGATTGTACTCTAACTTGAGGAGAGAGAACTTATATCATTATAACTACACTTTAGGTAATGAAATCACTCTAACTGAATTTAAAGGACTAAAATACTTCATATGTGGACAGATGAGCTGCATTTGAGAGACTGGTGAAGCCCATTTGGTCTGTTGTGGATAACCTAAACAGTTTACATTTGGACGAAGGTGAATCATACAACTAAATCCTATGAAACTGAAGTTTTAAATTCAGTTACTTTAACTACGCCATTTAGGGAGGTGTCCTATTGGGTATCGTGAATCTTAATTCCAAGTGAAACCCTACTTCTCTGTGTTTCCCAAGGTTAGCTTATGTTTCCTCCCCATGGATGGAGGGTCTAAACGGTGAGGGGCAGACGAGGAGAAGCCGTAGCATTTCAATCTCCCATTCAAACTGGTGTAAGGAAAATTGAAATCCACTTCCTGGGCTGTGCTCTTGCGAACCTCTCCATGCCATGATGCTGAAGTAACTGTGCTGAACTGGAAGGGGGGTTGCTTCTTGACGCTGCTCGCCGGCTGCTTTCCTCCTGGCTGTTCTTGCTGGCGGAGGGGACGAACAGTAATGAGAAGCTTCTGACGAGGGCTGTGGTGATGGCAGCGCTGCATGGAGTGGAGGGATGCGAGCGAGCACTGCTGCTCCGCTTTCGCAGCTCAGGGGTGGTCCCCTCTTTTGGGGCTTGTCTGGCTTAGGAAATCAGGGCTGTCATTCTTCTCCTGGTCACCCCCTTCGGGGGTTGGTTTAAGTAGCACCTTCATCTCATAGCTGTTCAGGCTGTTCATACCTATCCTGTAAACTTCTACAGCCTTTTTCTCATGGTAGGAAATTCTCAGGGCATTTTTTGAAGTTAGCAGTTTTGCTTTTTCTTCTATTCAGTCCCTTTTCTGAGATTTCTCTTTAGTGACATCAGGGCTTAATGGGAATTTAAATCCTGCTTCAATTGGATCTAAACACCCTAATAGCATGGAAAAAAAGGTCTTTTGGGTCTCAAAATAGTCCCTTTAAACTTAATTAACTATTTGAATAAGACAATAATTTCTTTAATGACTGATTCCTTGACAGTCTTTGGAGGTGACTTCTGACTCATTGAGTTGGGTAAGGAAGTTGCTTCAGCATTGTTGGTTCATTAATTCATTCCCAGTTGACATGAATATTCTGCATAGCAAGTTATATCAGTAACCAGCTGTAGCATCAGTCTTGCAGTATGTGTACATAAAAACACCCAGTCACAACATAATGGCACTAGGAGATTACTACAAGAGGCTTCATGTAGATGCTGAATACTTGTAAATGTGCGTCTCCAAAGGTGTTGGTCTGCTTGTGCATTTAAGGAATTAGGTTTTCCCCTTCAAGAGGGAGCAGAAATTAGGCAGAACCAAAGCTTTCCCCACCCGTATGTGTTTTTCTTAAAGTGACAAGAATAAAAGACTTGGAAAGCCTCTAAAACAGAGCATGTTCAGTACATCTTTGTTTTAAGATGAAGGCTTTTCCCCTGAAAATGGAGGGTGTTGCCCAACTGTGCTTAGAGAGCAAGTCTGCTGGTTTTTTATGTCCACAGTTTGCACTTGCGAAACCTTCTATGAAATATTTTTATACCAAGCCCAGAGTGCCAGATCTGGGGCTTATAAATCTTTCAGAATAACATGTGATGGAAGATGGCATAAAGAGAGAGCTGTCCCAAAGGTGTATATCTGTATTTCAGAAACTGTGTAAGTGTGCTCAGAGCCCAGCGGCGGGGTCTCTTCACAGTTTTTCTCCTCATCCCTTATGAAAATGACAGTCTCCCCCATTCAGTAGCGGTGCCGGCAAGTTCCCAGTGACCAGATGCTGTCAGAATAAATGATCGTGGTATTGGTAGTGCCTCGTGCATCACCATTAGGTCCAGCTCCTGCAGCAGGCTTCCTCGTGCAGCCTGATGCTCTCAACGGGGGCTCCCCAGGGCAGAGAGGAGTTGGGTCTCCCACGCGTGCCCAGTGCCTGCTCGTTCTGCTGAGAGCCAGGAGGAAGAGCCACTGGGACTGGGGGAGGTGGATGCCAGTCCAGCAGGAAGGGCTCTTGAGACCTTGCCGGCTGCCCGGAGCCAGCCTCCACTCCCAAAGGGTCTCTTAGAGCCCGAATAAACAGACTGGCTTTTTGCAACTGGCTTTTGAAGTGATTGGTTCAGACAGGCTCGCTTAGTTGACACGAGACAGAATAAGCGCCAGGCTCCACTAGCAATTATTACCCTGTGATCATGGCAGCCTTGTCAGATGCCTCAACAAGACGGCGAGCATTGCCAGAGCTTCTCTGGAAGAGAAAGTCCTGCTTGATTAGCTGGAGAGGCAGTTCCCTTGCCCTTGGTGCCCTGGGGGAGGCCACCAGTCACGACCAGGCAGCAAGGATCCCTTGCACCAGCTTTCAGGCAAACGTGCAAGTGTCCTGGTGCCTCCGGAGCAGAGCTGTGGGGGCGCAGCCAGGGGGTAACTTGGCTCTCCCAAGTGAGGGAAAGGAGGGCACTTGCATTTGCTTTTGCGTGGGAAGAGGAGCTGTGCTTTACCTTGCTGCCTCTTAGCATAAAACACGGGTCCCAAGATGGCTTATCTGCCTCCCTCTCCTTATGGCAGTGGGGGCCAACCTTTCCTCCAGGGATGTCACAAATTAATCCCCACAACACCCTCTCCCTGCATGATCTGCTTTCTGCCCTGTGCTCTCTGCCTGATCTGCTGCTCTGCTTTCCGCTTCCTTCCCTGTCAGCAGCCATGCTGCCTGTCTTCTCAGTCTGCTGCATGCCTCACATGCAGGCTGCCTTGTGCCACCCGTGGCATGCGTGTCACAGGTTGGATACCCTTTCCCCATGGGATTTGGCTTGGCAATTAAGGTCACCAGGAACACTGGCAGCAACAGGGCCTGATCCTGAGTGGGGTTAAACACCCACCCTCCCTGCGCTTTTAGTGAAGGAGGAAGCTCAGGGCCAGTTTTCATGTGCAAGTAAGAAATCTGCTTTCTCTGCCATCCTCCATTTCCTTTCCCTCGTCTCCCATCTCTTTTGACTTTAATAAAGTTTAATGGGCCCTGACTGCTGACAGCATGCGGCATTATGATCCACAGCCCTTCTATGCATTATTATTTTTAGCGAGCTTCTAAAGTGCCACCAAGGAAAATCAGGCAATGGGAAATAACTGTCTGGAGCATCTGCCCCCTCCCAGCAGCACACAAACCTGTCTCTCCATTTGTTTTCAAGGCAAACGGCGCCTCCACACAAGCCCCCGCCGCTGATGGGAGTCAGCAGCTTGCAGCTGGACCTGGATCTTGTCTCGCCTGTCCAGTCCCGTGTTGTCATCATGGATTATGTGGCCCTGGCCCTCTGTGGCCCCTGGGATGCCAGGATTCCCATAGGCCTTAGTTACACCATGCTGCCTGGCACCAGGTGTTGCTGTCCTCTTGCCATAGTCATTTGCTTTTGCCTCCTGCCAGCTGACGAAGAATGGGAGAAGTTTGGCTCGGAGGGGACTGGAGCAGGTGACACCATAGTACCCAGGCAGCTGAGTGCGAAGATGTCTGCTGAGACTTCCTCCCCTCTGCTCTCCAAAATGAAGAGCCGCACACTTAGCCTGCCTCTCTACAGGCTATCTCAGCACATCGTGGCAGGGAGGCATCAGGAGCACTGGACTGGGAGTCAGCATACCTGCGTGGTACTCTTGCCTCATAAAGCAACCTTGAGCCAGCCCCCTCACGTCCTGGCTGGGGATTCCCTGTTTGCAAACTGGAGGGGGCAAGAGGATTGTCCACTGTAGGAAGTGCTTTGGGAGCCTCAAATGAAAGGCACTGCCGGAGTAGCATCCACCCTGTGCAAAAGTCTGCTCAACCCTTTACATCCCAGTGATGCTCCTGAGTGAGAGCATAAGTGTGCAGAGCCCTTGTTCTGGTTCTCTGGCCTGGGGTGGGCTTCACCCAGTAAAGCACTCGATGAAACTGTGGTCTTCAGGAAGTCAATGAA